AATGCCATGTCATTGTCCAATCATCGTCTTTTGTTAACGGGCCACAAAAATGAAACGGAAAAATGATGTTTTCTAAGATCATCCTTAACAGAAGGGGTGATTTGCGGATTTCATGTAGTAGAAGGGCTGATTTGCCAGTGTTTCTTGTACAGGGGCTGAATTGCCACAACATTGCAGGTACAAGGGCTGAATTGCACCTTCTGCCTTTCATTTTTCAACTTTTCAAAAAACTTACAAGCACAATTCGACATTTTATTTCATTCCAATTTAACTTTCCACTTCGCTCTAAAACTCGTCGCCAAACGTTTGGTCTTCGGTATGTGTCTCTAGACCCTCCTTAGCAAGACTTGAATGAATGCCTATTCAAGTTAAACTGTATCTCCAACTTCAGATCTGTCTCAGATTTCTCTATCCGTTAGAGTTGTTTCTTTGCCCTGACTTGCATCTGATCGGTAAGTTTCTTGGGTATAATCATCTTCACTTACAGATTTACAGATTTGCAGATTTGCGATTAAAAATAATATCAAATTTTCTGAATATGATGCATATGTAGACACTTTTTTTTCTTTTTCTTTTTTGGCCATCATTATATTATAGAGCCACTTATCAATCTGCACAAAATCTCTTATGATCTTATTCTTCCGTTGTATATTTATTTTGCTGATACATATATACATTCTTTGATCCATATATAGGTCCAGAAATGGCAGCTGCACTTATTCCCTCAGCCTTGGAGTTAATAGCAAGAGTTGAAACTGTAGCATCATTAGAAGGGGTGAGGCTGGGCAGAGATTCTCTAAATGAACTCCAAAGGCTTAGGAACAACCTTGTGGCCTTAAATGCTATCCTTGAAGATGCAGAGCAAAAGAGAAGGGCTGACGAAGCCATCGATTTTTGGTTAGATCTGCTTACAGATGCAGCCTATGACTTGGTGGATGTGTTGGACGAGTGGATCACTGCACTCATGAAGTTGAGAATAAAAGGAGGTGGAAAAACTTCTATTCTGAAGGCTAAGGTAGGCTCCTACATCACCCATCGTTTACATACTGCCCAAGTTGTTAGGCATGATGATCTTGCTTTCAAATTAAAGGAAATCAGTGACAGGCTAGATGAGATTGGCAATGAAAGAAATAATTTCCACTTAATATCAAGTTCTGGGTTTCAACACAGCAGACTACGGACTGAGAGTACAGCTCTTGATGATGTGTCAGCTATAATTGGTCGAGATGAGGTTAAAGGAGAAATTGTAAGCAGTTTGTTGTCTGCATCTACCGAACGACTTGAGACAATTTCTATTGTTGGCGTGGCTGGGGTGGGAAAGACAGCTATTGCTCAACTTGTTTACCAGGATGAGGTGGTTAAGCAGCATTTTGATCATAGAATATGGGTTTGTGTCTCAGATGTATTTGACGAGAGTAATGTTGCCAAAACAATAATTAAAGGAGTTGAGCATGTTGAAAGATTTGAAGGAGCGGAGTCCCTTGATTCACTTCCCCTTTCTGCCCTTCGTGGTAGAATTTGTAGATCTATCCAGGGAAAGAAATTTTTTCTTGTGTTGGATAATGTGTGGGCAGATGACATGCGACGCTGGGAAGAACTGATCCAGACTTTCAAACACGGTGCCCCAGGGAGTAGGATTTTGTTAACTACTCGTAAGGATACAGTGGCAAACATGATGGAGGACTCTCATGTCCTTCATTTGGATCCGTTATCTGATGAACAGTGTTGGATGGTTGTTAGTCGAAGAGCATTTTCTGGAAGGGGTGTTGAAGAGTGTCGGAATTTAGAGGATATTGGGAAGAGAATTTCAAACAAGTGTAAAGGCTTGCCTCTTACTGCAAGGATTCTAGGAGCCCTCCTAAGATTTAAGAGCAGTAGGAGAGAGTGGGAAGATATTTTGTTCAGTGAATTCTGGCAGTTAAACATTGCATTTAAAGATGTTTTTGTTCCTCTATTGTTGAGTTATTATGATTTGCCTTCGCCACTGAGACAATGTTTCATATACTGTGCTCTTTTCCCAAAAGATTTTGTATACGATGGAGAAACAATAGTATACCACTGGATGGCACAAGGTTATTTAGGATGGGACAATGATGAAGATTTAGAATTAAAAGGAAGAGTGTACATTAGCTACTTAGCAGCTCGCTCTTTCTTCTATAATTTTCTGCTGGATACAGATGGTCTAAAATCAACATGGAAGATGCATGACATTATGCATGAGTTTGCACAGTCTTTGATGATCTATGATGGAATTGTGACTGAGGTCAATCTAGAAGCCAATTCAATTATCCATTTTTCTCCCATAAAAGTTCGTTATTTGAGGCAAAGTCTAAGAGAGGGGCATTGTCTTCCTACTTCCATTCATGATGCTAAAGCGTTGCGTAGCCTTATGATAATTTCTGGAGAGAATGGAATAACCAACAAGGATGTGCAGATCATTTTTAATCAAGCAAAACGGCTATGGTTGGTGGATTTTGGTGGCAATAATGCATTGGTGGATAAAATTCCAAATGAAATAGGGAATTTGGTCCATTTGAGGCACATTAACTTCAGAGGAAGTAAAATAAAAGGATTGCCTAGATCTTTGTGTGAGCTGCATAATCTTCAATTCTTGAATCTTGACAATTGTGAATCTCTTCAGAATTTGCCAGATGAGATAGGGAATTTGATCAATTTGAAGCACATTAACTTTAGTGGAAGTAAAATAAAAGGATTGCCCCCATCTTTGTGTAAATTACATAATCTTCAATATTTGAATCTCGAGAACTGCGAAGCTCTTGAGAATTTGCCAGACGAGATAGGAAAATTGATCAACTTGATATATTTGGCGACTCTTAACTGCTCCAAGTTGGCCTACTACCCCAAATCAGCTAGGAGATTAACAAATCTGAGGCAATTACAAGGGATTGTGCTCAGAGCTGATAGAAATGACCCTAAGGAATTTGCTCTTGGAGACCTAGAAAACTTGAACAATCTTCGTGAACTTTCCATGGTACTGAAAGGAAATGCAGTAAATGATAGAGAGCTTAAAAGAGCCAAATTTGAAAATAAGACACATTTAAAGGAAATCAAGGTGGAGTGACAAGGTACTCCTTTTTTTATTTTCAATTTGTTTTGTTAAGGTTTTTTTATTTTTTGGTGCACGGAATGATAGAATATGTACAAGAATAGATAATTCTTTCTTTTTTTATTTTTTTTTCCACTCAACCTAATGTTTGAACTTTAACCTCCAATTGGATCAATTTCAAAATCTTAACCCATTCTCTCTAAAGGTTTTGAATCCATGTCATGGATTGTATACTTGTATTGAGATGAAATGATATTTAAGGTTGGAATGGATTTCATGTGAGGAAAAGAATTTCAAAATCCTATTTCATATTATTACCTTTTTTCATAAAAAATATTATGATATTATTACTAACCTGTCATTTTAAAATATCGCCAAGAGGCTGTTTTCTGAAATCCCTTTTCAAATTCTCCTGCGTTCTCCCCTTCCTAAAGCATACTCTCTCTTCAATTAGACAAAAGAACATAATCTAAAAGAGGATTTTTAAACTCTTGCCGCGTCTCAAATTTCTTACTAAAATAGATTATTTCCTCCGCACCCAACCTTAATGATGGACAAAGTACTAATTAAGTTAGAAGCTAAGTGCTAATCTCTCGTCCTATCATACACTTATTTCCATTGTTTCTTGACGATCATTATTTCCTCAATTCAAAATTAACTATATTTCATATATTATGTTTGGCCAGCAATATT